TGACAAAGACGGTGTTCTTAACTAAATTAATCCAATTAAGTGAGAAACACTGACATGTTCGATATGTAATACTCTCTAGATATGTATTTTTATGTATACCATTTTTTTTTGTAATGTCATTCTTCATCAGACAAGTCACGCATTGTATTTTTAAAAAGAAATTTGAATTTAAATGCGTCTGATGACAAAAGAAGTGAAAAATCACAATCAGTAATTCATACGTTAAATATACTATGTATGTGGATTTAATCAGGGTATTATCGTTAATCATCAATCAGTCAGTCAATCAATCAATTAATCAGAGGAAAGATTGTTAATATGATTTTTATTGGTATTTTATTGGAAAGATTAGTAATGTTATTTGGTTGAAAAACAAGTCGACGATGGTTATGTCTCTTTCTATATAAATACAAATTATTGTTATTTTATGATCTTTTAGAACACCGCCATCTTTTTTTCTACAAATATTCTTTTCCCATTATTCATTTTCTTTATAAAGTGTAGAATTACAATAATAATTATAATAGATATTATATAATCTAGTCCAATTGTTTATGAAGCCGAAAGATCTTCCGTGGCCACCTATGCTTTATTTTTCGCGTGATACGGATGATAGTGATGAGGATGATATTAATGACAAATGATGAATAAAGGAAAATTTTACCAACTAATTGTGGTAGTTTGTACACGCTTAAGGGTGTGCATAATAGGTATGTAGTTAATTGTCCCTGCATGATCTTCTAATAACCACCATAATTTTGTTGTTGCTGTTGTTTACTATATCCGTCATCTTCACCTATATCTTTAACTTCCCAAACATTTTGTTTACTACCAACCGAGAACTCGAGATCCTCTTTCGTGATCGAGTCCCAATACTTGTAGACCATCATCACGGCCAACAAGGTGCAAATAGTGCCAAAGAAAAGTCCGTCAATATAGTGTTTGGCTGTGTCACAAATTTTCACCGAGAACATGTACAAGATTAGTTGTCCGACAACATAGAAACTGATACCGAATGCAATGTCACCGAGTGGCCAGCGATCATCGAGCGTGTTTAGTACAAGCACAATTTGGCATGCGATGTAGATTGCGAGTGCAGCCCCATTGAATACGTATAATACGATCCAGAGAGCTACTGGACGAAGAGGATTGAAGGCGGCCATGCCTTTGAATGTGGCTGTTGCGAGGAAGAACACAGCAGCAAAGACGAAAAGAGAGGAAAGACGAATGGACTTGAAAATTTTCAATTTTTGTTAGTCAAGTTTTTTTTTAAATTCAAGCGAATAGTAAATTGATGAAAAAAAAATTCAACGAGATATTCACCCATAGTGATGTTGAAGTACCGTCTTCTGTCAATTGAAAACCAACAAAACCATTAAGCAATAAACACCAGAAAGTAGCAGTGATCAGGCCAACATGTGCAGCTGTGAAGTACTATAACGAATGTATGGGTAAATGTTAATTTATTTTCAATATCATATATAATTTTAACTTTGAATTTAGGCCACTTACAGGGTACAATGTCGACGCTGTCGGAATGATACCAGATACTAATAGTAATTCTAAAAATGTGAGTATCATATACATATAAAAGAACATTACAATTTCCTTTCGCCCTATAAGGATATGTCCGGAAGAAATAGGGAAATCAATTAGCATTTATTTATACATAGTGCATAAAAAAGCTATACGTTGAACTGTTATACTAACCCACAGCCGTGTATTTTGATTTAATGTGATATATCATGATTGTAGTCATGATAAGGGCAATAACATGTATGATGATTGTGGCTATTAAATAAAAATTCGAGAAATATCAGCTACTATATGAATCCAGTTTCATTTTGAATGCACCTTATATTTACCAGGTTGAAAAATCAAAGTGCCAGCGACATCGAAATTTCTCGAATAACATGTTGGCTCTATGCCTTGTGGAGCACCTACTAGTGGACACACAGTTAACGCAACCGTTTCACAGATTCTATTAAAGTCTCCAAATGACATTTTTTACTTTCAGAAATGCTATTATATTGTCCTTTAAAAGTTTGATTTTATACAATGAACTACGTTTCTTGAAACAAGAAATATATATCTTTGTGGATTCCTCGCTCGCGAAGGTGTGTAGGTATATATTCGTTTTTAATTTCCTAAATTGTCTTTTGGTCTCTCAAAGAGTCAGCACAAAGTCTATCTATTATATTTGATTGGTATTGTTCGGGATATTGGATGTAGACTGTGAACGACCAACTGCTTGATGAGTTTTTTTTGGTATAGTTGTTATGATTATTAATAAAAGAGGCGAGGAGATTTCCCGAGTTAGGAGAGAAAGATTGGAGGAAGGGAATGCGAGTAGAATGATGTAAAAGATTACGGGAAAAGAAAAGGAGAGAGAAAAGAGTAAGGAACGGGTAAGAAGTGATAAAGGGAAAAGAATGTGTGTATTAATTAATGAGAGTAAACTTTTGTTTTTGAAACAAAAAAGTATACCACGTTTTCTAGGGTTGCGATTTCCAAAAATTGAACATCTCAAGTAACACGCATGCAACGAAATTAATGGAATTACAACACGAAATACTATTTGTGCAACAATATTGTTCTATATTTAACTTTGTTGTTTTGTTTTACAATGCTGGATAACTACCTCGACAAATTATGCGTTTTTATTGACATGGTTTTCTTGAGTAATTTTGGGCGCGAGAGAAAAGTTATGATTACTGATTGAGAGTATGGTAAATTATTGATTAAGAACAACGAATTAATGATTAGTTCAAGAGAGTATTACATATCGAACATGTCAGTGTTTCTCACTTAATTGGATTAATTTAGTTAAGAACACCGTCTTTGTCA